TTTTCGTCGCACTTGCGGCCTCAAGCCTCCGGTATAAGCTTTTTACTCGACTGAGTGGGTGAGAGGAAGAAAGAGAGGTACAGGCTACGAGTGAACCAGCGAAACGGAGAGAGCGTAGAGAAAAAGAGCGAGCGAGAGAGAGAGGGGGAGTGAAAAGGGACAGCGGTGGGATGAAAGAGAGACAGAGAGGACGTGATTGCGTGTGGGAGAAGGGAACAGACGCGTGGCGCGTTGTCACGCAGTGCAACTGCTATTGTGACATCTTCGAGCTGTACCCACACGACTCTTGGTATGTATTTTTTTTATCCGTCTCTCTCTCTCTCTCTCTCTCTCTGTCTCTCTTGTTCGTCGTTGATCGCTGTTACCGCATTTTCTCCGTTGGAATTTCGCGATAACTAATGTTTAAATCAATCATAGGAGGAACAGACGACGAAGATAGTCGAGGAGAATACGAAGATTCTCAGTTGTGTTTTCGGATTAGTCATTGGTCAATTTTCTTATCTCCCTTAAGAACAGATTGCCTGAACGAGCGGTGACTGTACTCCGTGGCAAGAAGAGATCTGATCGAAAGTCATAAATTTGGAGGAGCTACGTTCCGGCTAACTTTGGCCCGTTGGTTAGAAAGCCGCATTCCTATACGCGGGTAAACTGATAACCCACGCGTATACTTCCTTTTGATAGCGATTGAGACGTATTATACTGGTTAAGCACGACTTAGGCTAGAAACCGTCTCTCGTGGGCACGATAACGTTCGTTCACTTTGTTACATTATTGAAAAAATAAATAAACGACGTATCAATATCCAATAACTCATTTCACGTCGAAAACAATTACCCGTACGTAAGATTTTTCGTATGCAAGGTACGATATACTGAAATGAACAGGTCAGGTTGCCGATGCGTGGGCACCAGAGCTAATTGGTTTTAAGAAACGCGATATCCGGTGCAATGGAAGTTGGAAATCTAAAGAGTTGCGTATATACCTACCACGCGCTCGGCGTGTCCTCGTGATCTCTCAATAAAATTTTGACTTTGGACCATGCTTCTTATGGGACGAATGATGCTCGAGCCCCTCGTCGAGCCAATCGACTCCGATGCCCGAGTAATTTATTAATTTATTCCGCCGATAAATCTGTTCCAATCCGCACGTAGGCCGCGGACGGATTGTTCCTCCACGAGTCCTCCTCTCCTCCCTTTGCATCTTTATCCACTTTCTTCCGCTGGTTATACGTCTCTTTAGAGCAGCCTTGTTATTTCACTGGTGGAGATGCGCACACCGAACGCACCCACCGTTATTTGCGATAACAATTTTATCGTCGGTAATCATACGACTCGCGTACGCTTGTATAATTACCATCTAAAGACGATCTTCTTCTTCTTCTCCTTCTTCGTCGTTCGCTCCTACTGGTTGCGTTCGTGGCCTTGAAAGGAAAAGCTCCGGCCGAGGGAAATTCGTCGATACACATGGCGGAAAAAAGATCCGTCGAATGGAAACCAGTTTCCAAGTTGAACATCGATAAATACAACGTGGAGAGGTTCCTGCAAATGTGTACCGGTTTAACGCCGCGCTATCGCCACTTTGTACACCGTAAGTACCATTATTAATGTAACACGCTACACACTGGTCGACTAATTTGAAAAATAAACGGCTGACGGCATTATCTTGGCGAAGCTTTACCAGCCGGTCGTGGCTGGCCACCTTTGACATTAACAAAGATATTCACAACAACAGGAAAATTCACCGTGAAATTCTCTCTCCGTGTGATCCCGTATAGCTCGTTCCACGTTGTCGGAAATATAATTGGTCGTACACAGCGATCAGTCTGTAACAATTAAATTCTCGCGTCGCGTCGGATAATCGTAGGTGGAGTGTGTGTATTCGTCTATGCTCGATTATGCTTTTCGAAAGCGTCCCAGTCTGGATGTTTTTCTATTCAACCCGAGATCGTGCCAGAAACGTTTTTGCTACGCCCGGACTTCGCTCAGCTTCGCTTAACTCACTCAAGTAGTCGCAATGGTTATTAATTATCCACTGGAGAGCATCGTTTAATTGGACAGCATCGTATGCATCTATCGGAACATTATGGCTGTGAAACCTCTCGTCTCTGCGCAATCGTTCCTCCAAGGATAATCATAATTTTTCTTTTCACAAAGGGTTGACGAATACAATCGATCGGAGATACCGATCGAATCGATGATCGGATGGAAACTCGCGACAAGGTGTTCGTCGAAGAAATAAATTTACCAGCGATTTACTTTCCATGCATGCGCGTTTCAAGTATTTCACTCACGCACCCTTCGAACGAGCGAAAGGAAGAAGAGAGAGAGAGAGAGATAGAGCTCGTCCAAGGGGAAAGACCAAATAGTTCTGTGAACATTGCATCCTCCGTCAATCGTCGGCTGCATGTCAATGAACCAGCATTGAACATCGACTGAAATTGAGGACCAAGCGAAGTGCGTGTCGCTGTCGTGAGAAATCGCGTTTCTCGCGTAAATTTGTCGCACGTTTTGCACCGCGCCAACAGGAGGAATGTCTTAAACGCGATCGGAATTAGCAATGTCCCCTTTCGTTGCATTACACTGCCACGAACATGTTAGGGGGGACCTGTCTCGTCTGAGTAACGTGGTTTTCC